ATTACTTGCAGTTATTGCTGCAAAAGGGGGTCACACCAGATACTGAAAGCAAAGATTCACATACTTTTGCCACTCACAAATATTTAACACCAGATCATTTTTCTCAATAAATAAATTACAAAGTATATATTTTTGTCTCCTTTGTTTGATTGGATTCTCTGTCTACTTTCAGGATTTGTGTTGATGATTTTTTGGGTTATATTTATGCAGAAATATAGAAAATTCTAAAGGGTTCACAAACTTTCAAGCAGCACTGTGTGTGTATATATATATATATATATATATATATAGTAATTATGTACAAATTATAAAATAATATTAGTTACTCAGCAGTTATTCAGCAGTTGGAGTATCCAAAGACGTCAAACTGACTAAAAATATGTTCGAAGAATATCAAACCCTATCAAGACCCTGTGCCCTCTCAAACATTACAGACATCAAATGACGAGGATGGAATTCGAACCCACGCGTGCAGAGCACAATGGATTAGCAGTCCATCGCCTCGGCCACCTTGTCCTGTTCCCAGCTGCTGTCATTAACATGATGGAGATCAGGTTCAGCATAATGTGTTGTAAATGATTGCAAGACATAATGCTTTGACAGAGCTGCAAGGAGCATTGGTTTCTCTGGTTTAGGGGACTTGCGGTGATGTTGGAAAAGGGAGTGGGAGTGCTTATCGGCTCATCGAATCGATCCCGACCTCAACCATGTTCTCAGAGACTGAGCTTTATGACTCCACCACTTTCTTGCAAGGATAGCCATAATTCTCTCTCCCCAGGGTTCAAGAAAGCAACGCACACTCTTCTTTGAGCAAAGACTGAACAATGAATTGGGCTTCCCAATTGGGCTCTGGCTCCGGCCCCTGTGGAAAAGGGGTATCTGTGATTCTGGTGCAAGAGACAGGGGGCTCGTTGTGTCGACCCAGAGGCAAACCACATTCTCAGACGTGAAGATGAGATTTTTCTGCAGCCATCATTAAAATGCAGTGAAGGGTCACCGTAATGTGTCGGGTTAATGCGGGCAGCCTTTGGCAGACCTGTCTGGTCTGCTGAGCTCTCTGTGACACTAAAGTCATCAAACAATGAGGATGGGATCTGAACCCATGCATGCAAAACACAATGAATTACAAGTCCATCACCTTAACCATGCACTCAGCCACTTCATCACACTGAATGCCTCCTTTATTTAACTTACTAATCAGGTTTATTAAACCTGATTTAGCTCATAGCTCACACTCAACTGAGTGTGTCAGATAAGGAAAATACACAAAAGGTAATAATAATCAATAGTAATAATCAAGGAACTTTGCTGCCATACCATGGGTGCAGCAGGCACTATGATATTACGCAGCGCCTGAAAATAGGCTTATTGGAAGTTACCTAGCTGGGACTATTTTCAGGCACTGCGTAATATCATTGCATCAAATTGATAGAACTTTGATTTGTTGGGTGAACTGTCCCTTTAAAAGAGCCCTCACGCTCCTTTAATTTCTTTAATTTCCACTACTCCAGAGCTGTCTTTGTGGGCGCATATGTCAAGGGCTGAATGGATTCGAAAACGGTAAAACTCAACTGTTTAACTCTAGGGGAGTTGGAAAATGAGCCTATTTTCAAAAATAGTGGAGTGTTCCTTTAATATAAAAAATGCATTTTAAAAACAAAGTTGTTTAAAATGAGAAAATATTTGATGACAACTCAGAGACAATTTGACATCTGTTTAAAATAGTCAAACAAGATTTAGTACGTCTTATAAAAATATATAGGGTTCAACTCCGGGTTAAAGGCAGAGTAAGTGATTTCTGGTAGCCAATGTTGATATTTGAAATCACCAAAACAAACACGCCCCTACCCCAAAAGGGTCTTGCCCCTATTTGATAGCTCCGGCCGACATATACGTACGCAACCCGGGCAACGATTAGTTCTGTGAAACAACGCAAAACCAATGTTACACCGTGTCTACGGACGTGAGCGGCGCGGTGCAACAAATCCCCGACAGAAAACTGCTGCCGGGTTCTATTTATGACGTGCTGACACAAATTTCAAATGGTTTTCAGCGGTCGTTTGATCGCGTCCAGTGTAGTCAGACTTTAGCTGTTGTAGACACGGTGTTACTCACCTACTGAGAAGAAACATAGCAACCTCGGCGTCCGATCGCAGGCCTCCGCTCCTTGAGTTCTCTCCAGCGCTGGAAAGCTGATCCGATATTTACACGGGTCCTACTTCTTGTCTTATCGTTCCGCAGACGTTTTCCTCTTTTGTTTTTTATCCGCCATCTCTATCTTTCTGTCGCTCGGCTCGGCTAATGTCCATCCCATGCACTGAACGCGCTCTCCTCCACATCACGAGTAGACACGCCCCTGATTGCTGATTGGCTACAAGTTTGTTTTGCGACTCGGCCCGAATCAGTTTTCTAAAGTGTTTTTGAAAAATCACATACCCTGCCTTTAAAATGCGCATTTAATTTTATTCTCCTCTAAACCACTAGATGGCACAAAAGCCTAACGCAGCTTAGACGCCCGCTTTTCAGTGGGCTACATAATGGAAATTTGCATGATACTGATATAATTATTTTTCTTTAAGTTGAACATCACTGGCAGCAACACAAAATTTATATTTCGGTCATTTTATCTAATATTTCATATTTTAAAAAATATTATAGATTTATGCAGCAAATGAAAAACAATAAATGTATTGAATATATTTTGAAACAAAGGTCTTGTTAATCTTTTTCATTTTCGTTCAGGTTAAGTAAATAAATACAAGAGTAATATTTAAAAATATGGTATTTGTGGGTAACCCCCTAATTTTGAAGCTTAAAATAAATGTATTAGGTTGAAATAATGTGAGTATTAAATGAAAATTAATTTTTATTTATGATGAAAAAAAATAGTAAACTTTGCTAAAGTGATTGCTTTGAGCAAGTATTAACTTGTATGATATGCAAAACATATTACTTTAGCTAAATTGTATCACTTCTGGGTAATACAATTTTTTAAAACCAACCACTTTAATGATTTATTTGCCCACAAAATGTGCTGCTCCATCATTGTTTAATAAAAAACACATATATGTTTTCTGTAGTCGTGTAATGAAAAGCACATTTTTCTTAAGGTGTGCCTTTAGCTCCGTTGTACCCTATATCTATTTGTCATGTGCTGCATCAATAGATCACATCTTGCAGATCTATCAAAATACATTTAAAATCATTTGTAGGCCTATGTCTTGGCTGTGGTTGTTTAATGTCCAGGCCATTATTCATGTATTTATGAAGCCTAAATCTATAGTACATTATATGCCTGGAGTTGTGAGACTGTGTATTATAAATACGCTATACTAATAAATGTATTAACTTTTGAGGATTAATTTTGACCTTGAAATCTGCAGCTTTATCAGTCGTGTTCATGTTGTTATTATGAGTGTCAATGTATGTTGAGAACACTAGACAATATCTGAATCAAAGAAAATAATTTGAAACAGCTTTTTAAATGTTTCTTCACTATAAATATCACAGGTCTTTTAATGATCAATACAGGGGCTCCAAAAGTATAGAAACGTAAACATGAATGCCATTACATTAGATATGCCATATCAAACCATGGCATCTGACAAAAAGGTTAGAGCTTTTCTCTGAACTAACTTCTGTTTTTGCAATGAGTTTTAATCAGCTGCGCTCATGGTGTATATGTTCCTATTTATTGAAGTCAGTTTCTCTCCTCGCCAAATAACCACAGGTTACATGTCCTCTAGAAAGTGATGCATTGTCTTCATTTTGAACAGTATATCCACTGTTTTATCATTTCTGTGAAATGTTTTACTGGATTTGTTTTATGAAAAGTGTGCCTCTCACAGTTTGATATTTTGAAATGCAGCAGCATTTTGCAGTATTTGTGGCCATATTACATAAAAAAAGGTACAAAAGCTGCCACTGCATGGGGCGGTACCCATTCAAAAGTTACACTTTTGTACATTATTTAAACTTAAAAGGTGGTGCCTTAGGCAACTTTTTGAGCAATGTTGCAGGGCAACTTTGGTTAACGTTGCCGTCAACGGGCAACCAGGTGAAACACAGGGCTCACGACTGATCTAAAATATCCAGATAGAAATTTGTTACACATTCTCAATGGGAAAGTGCCCAAGTAACATTGCTCAAAAAGTTGCCCTGTGCATCATCAGCCTTAAAGGTACATCTTAGTACCTAAATGCAGATATCAGTACCACCCCAGTGACAGCTTTTGTACTGAGATTGTTAACATTGTATGTCCTCAAAAATGCAATACTCGCTCTGTCCAGTAGGTGGAAACTAAATACTGTGCAAACGTTTCTGCACTTTAACCTGATACCTGCATGTATCAGTTCTCAGAAATGACCACTACTTGATACACAAGACACTTATATCATACCTAATCAGATAATATCAGATAATGCCATAATCTATCCCTGCGTATTTTATCTTTAGTGCATTTTTTAGGTTGACTATAATAAACATAGTGAGTGTCTATACCTATTTAATGCTGTTAAAATATACTTGTTTCAAATCAAATCCTAAATGAGTTTAATTCGTTATTAATAATCGTTTGTTCCTGGCAACACTTCTGGTTGTTTATTAATGATAATCGACGATATACATCTCTATATGTTTGCACGAGAACACCAACAGCAGCCTGTGATAAAAGGGAAGGGCCCCTGGCAGGGAACGTCGCCAAATGTATAGAAAGCATCATATAGCGTATGTATGCATGTATATAAATATAGACACAGACGGGGATCTTAATGTGCGGCTTTTCTTAATGGGTTTCGATCATCAACACAAATGTATCACCAGGCCCAAACGCAAGTCTTAAGCGCAAAGGTCATTTAGTGCGGGACCCTTCGTCTATTTATTAGCGTCGAGTCATTTGTAGATGTTTCCTATAGAGTGGGGGAAGGCAGCCCCATTGATTCAGAGGTTTGGAATTTGCATCTGATTGCTGTTTGTCAACCAATGGTTTGACTCGCCGACCGCGGCACCGCCTCAGATTAGACGCACATATGATGTTCCTGCCAAATTAACCTCTATATCGAAATCAAATGAGGAAGAGAGACAGAGCACGAGCCATACTGTTTCTATAGGCGCTCGTGTGTTCGTGACTGTGATCAAATATTGACTGAGAGAGCGTCGCGAGCGGCTTGTTTTTACGGGGAAATCAGGAATGTTCCTTCCGCTTCCCAAGAAAAAAACGAAACGGAAGTTAAACTGGTAAGTGAAGTGTGTCTTTTTCTCCCTCTCAGCCCAATGTTACATTCACATTTTCCTGTTTGTGTTGACTGTATGGGAAGTACATTACGTCTCTGGCGTATAATCTGGTTTCTTGAGTTTTAATGACTGTTTTTGGTTGTTTAAAGCTGATTATCTGATGATGTGTTTGTCTGGCAGTAGTTTTGGTGTCAGTGTATTTTACAGCCATCAGAATAAACACTCGACACAAACACATACAGTAACTGCCTTCAGGCACGCGATGTGTATATGCAAATAAGTGTAGCTTAAATCCCCGGGTTGTTTCTTTATGTATTTGTTTATTTATTTATTTTCCGATTTTAACTTCTTGGTGTAGTTTTAATAAGGTAAGTAATATTTTAATGACCTTTTTTGTATCTAGGTCGATTATCTGTGATCTTGTGGATGTGGAAGTCGTGTATTGATTTTATTTTATTGTATGCATTTTTACTTTATGCGTTAAATTAGCCTTTTTAAGTGTCATATAACTAATATGCAGAACAATACTTTGCTGCTGACTTAATAATTACTAAAAAAAAAAATCTTAGTCATTAGACTACAGCAATTAGAAACCACAATATTCATTGTGAATAATTTATTAATGATAATAATAAATAGTAACAATATTATAATATATTATAATTGTAAAAAATATAATATAATCAATCACATTCTATTTATGTGAAGTAGTTTACATTCTAAATGTGTGCAAATGTTCTTCCTTTATTTTAGGTTATCTAACTGTTAAATTTAAAATGTTGCAATTTGCAAAGTTTTTTTTTGAAGTCTTTAATTTTGCAATAACAATCGGAAAAAAGGAAATATTAGAAGACGCAGTGGTATAATGGTGTTGTTGTGTAGGCTAATATTATTTTCATCTGGTGCCTTTTACTGATAGAACTGATGTTTAATCAACAATAGGAAAGTGTGAATCTTATTTTTGACATAATTGTGGTTGTCGCTTTGTGTGCTTGTATGGCTGATTGTGTGAAAATGTTGATTGTGTTAGTACTGATGTCATGTTTTTTTTTGTTTATTCTTGATATTTTAAAGGGTTCTGAAACCTCTTGCCAAAGGACTGCAGTGTTAGCCAACTGGCTAACACAGAAATGTTGATTAATGCGTGTTGTCCTTATAAATTATATATATACAGTGGGTACGGAAAGTATTCAGACCCCCTTAAATTTTTCACTCTTTGTTATATTGCAGCCATTTGCTAAAATCATTTAAGTTAATTTTTTTTCCTCATTAATGTACACACAGCACCCCATATTGACAGAAAAACACAGAATTGTTGACATCTTTGCAGATTTATTAAAAAAGAAAAACTGAAATATAACATGGTCCTAAGTATTCAGACCCTCTGCTCAGTATTTAGTAGAAGCACCCATTTGATCTAATACAGCCATGAGTCTTATTGGGAAAGATGCAACAAGTTTTTCACACCTGGAATTGGGGATCCTCTGCCATTCCATTCTAATTTATTGAGATGCACCTGTGTGTGTGTGTGTGTGTGTATATATATGTGTATATATATATATATATATATATATATATGTGTGTAATTGTATATAATGGATCATATCTATCTATTTAGCCTATAAGAGTCCACCTTTCATAATGCGAGATATAAATTGTACCTGAATTGTGCATTATCTCAATATGCATTCATATATGGATTTATCTCTCCCAAAGAGTCCTGTTGGAAATATGGGTTAAGACTGATTTGATTTCATTCTCTCCATTCTTAATGACCTGTTTAAATTAGCACAGAGCAGATACTCTCCAGCCTTAATTAGATTTCTGTTCCACATAAACAGAAAAGCACGTTTGTTTGCATAGACTACACATAGCTTTATCACACACTGTACTGAAACACTACACTACACATGTGCATGGTACGATTTGTATCCGAGTGAACCGGATCGTTTTGATAACATTTGTAAATTTGTGAAGGTAAAATGTTTAAGTTTTTTGTAAATTGAATATATTTTAATGGAGAACTCTGTAGTAATAATAATAATAATGTTTACTTTTATATCAAGGCCTATAATGAATCTTGGACGAGACGAGATTTCCTTAAAGGTGGGGTAAGTGATTTTTGGTAGCCAATGTTAATATTTCAAATCACCAAAACAAACATGCCCCTGTCCCAAAAGGGTATCGCCCCTATTTTGATAGCTCCGCCCCACACATACGTACGCAACCCAGGCAAAGATTAATTCTGTGAAGCAAAGCAAAACCAATGTTACACCGTGTCTACACCGGACACGAGCGGCGCGACAAAATACTATAAAACTAACTCATTATAATCAGTGATGCTGTGTACACTGGATGCGGTGCGGCGCGATGTGACAAATCCCCAACAGAAAACTGCTGCTGCGTTCTATTTACGTTTTAATGACATATTGACATAAATTTCAAATGATTTTCAGCGTCCTTGTCGCGTCCAGTGTAGACAGACTTTAGCTGTTGCGGTGTGACAACTGTCGTATCCGGTGAACATTAGACACGCTGTTACTCACCTATCGAGAAGAAACAAAGCAACCTCGGCGTCCGATCGCAGGCCTTCCGCTCCTTGAGTTCTCTCCAGCGCTGGACAGCTGATCCGATATTTACACGGGTCCTACTTCTTGCCTTATCGTAAGTGATCCGATATTTACACGGGTCCTACTTCTTGCCTTATCATTCCGCAGACGTTTTCCTCTCTTGTTTTTAACCGCCATCTCTATCTTTCTGTCGTCGCTCGGCTAATGTCCGTCCCGTGCACTGAGCGCTCTCTCCTCCACATCATGAGTAGACACGCCCCTTACTGCTGATTGGCTACAAGTTTATTTTGGTACTCGGCCCGACTCCGTTTTCTAAAGCGTTTTAAAAAAAATACATAAAAATAATGTTCTTTTTTAGCAACGTCATATGACCCCTTTAAATGTCTTTTTGACTCCATAGAAAGATAAATGAGAAATGTCCATAATTTGGGTGCTCAAAAGCAGGATGGAAGACAAAAGTGCGTGTTGTTTGTGGCCTTTAATTTGAAACTTGGGACAAATTGGACAACTTTTTAATATGATATGGAGGGTGTTTTCCTCATTATTTTCTTTGGAAACATTTATACAATGGCTTGTTTGTCTGCTGTCAGGTGCTCTTAGGCACTATTAAAAATCTCATGTGTTGGTTTACGGGGCCTCCTGCTAAATGCCCTTTGGCATGAGAGGGAGAGCGGATTAGTGTTAAAGACGTGTTCGGTGATATATTGCAGGTCTTAAAGACCTAACAAGCTGAGTCTAAGAGATGGTATTGTCTCAAACTTGTGCACAGGAAGCAACGTTCACAATGCAGACTTGCATTTCTAATAGTGTGGTTCAGTTTTCAATGTGCCAGACGACATGATTCAATACCAGTCCTGTGGCTAGAGTAGAGATAATGTAAAAAAGTCTGTTTGTTAGCAGATTTGCATGACATGCATAATGATAGAAGTTAGCTGCAAAACAAACAGAAAGGGACAGCACCAGAAGGGGAACTGTAATGCTTGTTTGGTGCATGAGGTCAGAAAAGTTGTTTTAATTCTAATTCCGTGTTTCTATAATTAATGTGCAAGTACCATAAACACAAATTCTTTGCAGCTGCATTCTATGTATTTAGGGGGTGTTGGTGGTGACCTGCATATGTGATATGTAGTGAGTCCTGGGGTTGTTTGTATGTGAAATAAATAAGTGGGTGTGGGATTTGAACTGATAAGGTGAGGTACGAGCAGGAATGAGGCCCTGCATCCTGTCACACCTGTCCTGATCAGAAAGACGCAACCGTATCAGCCGTCATCTTATTCGCAGGTTTTCAGGTTGGCAAACTCTGCTCTGAGCTGGCCAAACTGGTTTCAGTGTTGCGTGTTACTAGGTAGTGTTGAGCGGGATCAGATATCCAAGTGTCGCAGCTCAAGGAGGGAACTGCTCTGTTTTTAGATTAATCCATATGCGTGTCTCAGTGTGGCCATTTCAGCACAGAGCTGTTGAGCAACACTTTACTCAAGTGAAACAGAAAGCACCATTTAAACAAAAATGCTGTACAAACTAGTACCAATACAATTCCACGGTTCTCGTTACCAATTCCGGTGCCATATCAAGATTTTTTTTTTAAACTATTTTATAATAAAAATATAAATAAAATGAGTTATTAATGCTATTAATACATATAAGTAATTAATTCACTAAATATTAGTATGTAGTCTTCAGATGTTTATGTATGTTGCTGTGGTTATTATTATGCCTAACATCGCAATTTCAGATTCAGTCCTGCATTTAAATATGGTCGTCACTCCTGAAACTTTGCAGTGTGTACATAGCAGCATGAAAAATACAACTTTTATTCAAATTATGAATGGGTTTACAGAAAACAAGCAAATAACTATTTATAATCAATGAAGCTATTAATTCAGACGCAGCGCGAGCTCACTGACTGAGCGAAAACTCCTGTTATAATCGAAAAACCCTTTCTATACTATGCAATGTATCTCTTATTTACATTGTTTATTTTGGTTTATACTTTGTCATTTAGAGTAAAATAATTCGCACAGAGCTTACGTTGAGCAAAATTGTGGATTCTGACTTTAAAAAGCATCTGATTGGCCATTGCGTTCACATGCTCAATAAACATGTCTGTGATTGGCTACAGTGTCCAACGCTGCAAAATATGTTGTAAATAGAAACCATTGTTGCTCTTCACAGGGTGCTGCTCGCTCGCACATGGGAGCGTTTGAAAGCAGCCACGTATCGGCAGCTACTGGATCAACCCAGTATTACCGAAAGGCGTCGTTATAGTCGTTATCGACCAAGGGGCCGTTTACACGACAACGTTTTCAGCCAAAATGGGAAACTTTTTATGCATTTTGCCTGTTCGTTTACACAGCAGCAGAAGAGGAACTTTAATGCTTGTTTGGTGCATGAGAGGTGGGAAAATGACATGATACAATCCTCAATTGTGTTTTA